TTGAGCAAGGAGCAGCAGGGGACAGGCAGGTCATACAGGGGATTTAAACCCCCATCCCCTCGGGCCTCAGCGTGCCAGCCCTGGGCTAGGTCGTGGTCATGTCCACCACTGGAGTGAGGAACAGAGGCAAGCCTGACAGGAGCTGTACCCCCTACTGGCAGACCCCAGCTGGGGTCCTGTTTGGGCCAGGGAGGGAGTTTAAACACCTTTCCCCTCTGTCCCAGGGTGCTGGCCCCAGGTCAAGGCCTGGCCACGCAGTCTACTCTCCACTTGAGTGGTGTGGGGGCAAAACCCTGGCAGGGGCTGCCCCCTCCCCCTCAAAAAGGGGGGAGGGCAGAAGACTAGCAGGGCTGCCCCACCCACCCCCAGGCAGACCCCAGCTGGGGTCTCATGCAGGCCAGGGAGGTTTAAACCCTGCCTTACTCAAGTATCTCAGCATGGCAATCCCAGGCTGGGAGCAGGGGGCATGGCAACACTTCTACTTGAGCGGAAAGCAGGGCGGTGGGCAAAGAAGGCAATAACTTGGCAGACAGCCCCCCCAGACTGACCTGGGCTGGGGTCTTATACTGGCCAGGAAGGGGGCTTAAACCCCACTCCCCCCTCCTCAGCATGCCAGCCCTAGGCAGGGAGCAGGGGGACAAAACCCTGGTAGGGACTGCCCTCCCGCCTCAAGCAGGGAGCTGTTTGCTTAACGCTTTGAAGGTAAACAGCCATATCACCACGAAGCATGACTGTTTTAACTCCTATAGATCCTGTGCTAGAAAGAAACCCAACTGCAACTTACCTTATGTATGTTCATAAACAAAAAACTTTAGCTGTTCTATGTTCAGTAATGGATAAAAAGCAGCTCATTAGATGCTTAGGGGGGAAAAAGCAGAGTCCCTCTCAATTTACTCCCTATGTTAAAACGTTGGGCTTTAAAACTTCCATCTAGTTTTAAAGACGTGGACTCTTTAAGTAAATTAGATGCCACAGACTTCTGTTGCAGTTGAAATAACTGGACTTTGGCTTGGAAAGGTAAAACATGGATAAAGTGAAACAGTGATAAAGAAAAATGCTATTTTAAATGACAAGAAAGAACTATAGCATTTAAAAATAAATGATCAGAAATCTTTTGAAGTATTTCAATCTTTGTTCTTCATAAGGGCTTTGAAATCCTCCTGGCACGATACGTTTTAATAAAATAACAAAGCTGTTTTCTGTTTTCATTAGCAAATACTTTATTTTCAAAGTGGCATTGCCTACTTTATACATCTCTGATGGTGCTTGTCAGTATAGCAGTTCTGTTGGTGAAAGAGTAAAAAGATGAATAATTCATATGCTAGAAGTTACGCATTTGGGTTTTTCATCTGGATTCTTTTTTTTCCTTCACAACATATCTGATTTTAAATCTCTCTACTGATAAAATAAAAAGCATTCCTACTTCAATACACATAATCTACCAAACAATTCTTCTGATTTCCAAAAGGGATGTCATAAACATGCTAGATTTTCGGTTGTAGCCAAAAACCCAGCATGTAATAATACAAATATTATAAACATACTATTTACACGCACTGTACTCTCCATTTTGCAATACTTCAGTTTTTAAAAATCCATCCATATGGAAAGTACTTCAGTTCAGTATTTGGAGTAAGAAAAAAAGAAAAATAATTTAAAATGCATGGCAACTTTACTAATACTTAGTGGTCATCATCCAAGAAAGAATAGCAAAATTATCATTCACACCATATATGAGAAAGGGAGTGTGTCACAAACACACAGCTACATAGCTATAAAATACACATTATCATTTATTATTTTTATAATTCCTAGCCCTAACCTTCCACAAATGATAAATTACCTAAACTTCTGTTGTAGCAACATAAAAATTGTTTCAAATAAGGCACTCACCAAAAGACTGAATGCAGGCTTCAAGAAGGTCTTCTAGGCTGGCCTCTTTGGCTAAGTGTCCCAAAGGCATTATTATTTTGAATTCAGTGGATTGGGTAAGATTTGAATAGTTGGCACAATGACTGATCCGCTTCAGCTCAAGTGCTGATTTAGGGGCAGTGCTGCATCCTTGTGCAGGTTTTCTGAAAGACAGAGAAATATGCAAGTGAGAACAAGGAAAGCAAGGTAGTGGCAAATTTCACACACGGCTCCACTGCAGATTACAAAAAGGAGGAGAGATTTAAAAGGCAACCAGCTCCCAGGAGTTGAGTTGGTGAAAGACAACCCTCCCACCTGGCAAATGCACCAAAGGGACCTCTCTTCCTAGTTATATTCCCATATAAGTATGCATTTCACAGTATATGGTTAGAGCTGTTTTTTCTGGGTTTTTTTTTTTTTAAATCTTTCTCCTGTAATCTCAATACAAGCATATCAACTCCAAAGCAGAGCAACAAGGATTCAGATAATTCAGTAGATCTCCAAATTGAACAATATATATAGCTATGTAAAATTGGGATAGTGTCCTGGTACTGATTATCTAATATGAAGTTATGTGCAGACATCGGTAACGCAAGGATTAGAATTCAATCCATAGTTAAATCTTATATAAAACAGATTTTTACATTAATTTCAGTTGAGCTAATGCACATCTGAAATATCAGGGTCTCATACAGAGTATCTATAATGTTTTGTAGCTAATGAAATGTTTCGTTGCTACTCTATAACTGTTACCATAATTGTCTGCTAGTTTCTTCTAAATAGTTAATAACTGTTTAAGTGGTTGATTAATAACTTTAATTAGTTAAATTTTTATAACCAATCTGGCCTGACAAGGGTGTTTGTGCCTGAAAGCTTGTAGAAGAATTTTTCCAACTCTTCAAGTTGGTCTAATAAAAGATACTGGATTTACCCAAAGAACTTTTTCTGCCGATAATCACACATCATTATGCAAGTACTTTTCTTTTTGTTTCCCTCCACACGTATAAATTCACACCTAACTTTGGTACATGCAAAAGACTTCTGCATTTACAGAAATAGTACTTAAATCTGTTTATATTTTTTGCATATATTGTTATAAATTGACATGTTATTATAAGATTCAGTAGGCAGAAAATCATAGGCATGAAAAAAAAATGTGCTGAAAAATGTTCATTGGTAAAACAACAGGCACTGTTCTAGCATCTGTTTTGAAGCCCTTTGAAAATATGGTTTTATAGTTCACACAGGGGCAGTGATTATTGAAACTTGCAACAGAACTGGGGCCTGTTTTGAGGCGAGTAAGTTGCAACCAAAAAGAAAATCTTCCTAAACAAATCGCTGACATACAGCTCTCTTGGAGCAAACCTTTTAGAAACAGAACACTCTGTGGAGTGAATTTTGAGAGAAAAGGAACAAAACTTAGCAAAATAAAGTGAAGTATAGATGTCCTTTTAGAACCAATTCTAGCCTTGAATGAAGTCAGCACCAGTGGAAACTCTGAGGGAATTATATATGTAGTTACACTCATAGAATAGGGTGCAACAATTTTACTCTTTCAAAATGCCTTTTAATAATTAAGGCAGACAACATCCCTTGGGTAGATATGATATTTTATTAGACCAACTAAATAGTTGGAAAAATTGTTCCTTGCAAGCTTTTGGGCACAAATACCCAACTCTCCCTATGCCTGAGGAAGGGCGTTTGTGCCTAAAACCTTGCAAAGAACAATTTTTCCAACTATTAAGTTGATCTAATAAAAGATATCACAAATTCCTCCAAAACCCTTGTCTGCCTGTGTCCTTAGACCACCATGCCTACAACCAGCCAGCACCCCCTTTTAATATTCAAAGTGCTTTACAAGCAAGGCTTACTGAAGCAGCGTAAAACTGTAGGCGGGGTGCAAAGTACTGCACGTACACTACTACAGGGTGGTCATCCCACAGCTGGGAGTTTGTGTCAGCACCCAGGCTCCCG